GCCGCCCGCCGTCCGCCGCCCCCCGAGGCTTTGCTCCCCGTCTCCCTAGTCTGCTGGGGCGGGCCCCCCCCCCAGCAGACTAGGGAGACGCGGAGCAGCTTTTCTCGCCGCGGAGGACGCGGGCGGCAGGACTGCGACACGTCTGGGCGGTCCCGCTGCCTGCATCCTCGTGGCAAGAAAAGCCCCGTTCTTAAGTCGGATCCACATAAGTCGCAGACTGCCTGTACTATATAAAGATGCCAAGAAATCTTAAACCATGCTGAGTGATCACATTCTTCATTTGTGTAGCGACACATGTTGAGTCTCAGTGAAATGCTTAAGCCAACAAAATCCTTGTCACCAAGAGCCTATATGGTAAGCAGATGGAGCTTCCACCTCTTTCTCTGACAATACACCCTGCATATAGATCAATCTCACCCTTTTCCTGGGGTCTGTCTTCATAGTAACACAACAGATTTCAAGCTCAGATCTTCCTTACCTTTGTGTAGCGACACATGTTGAGTCTCAGTGAAATGCTTAAGCCAACAAAATCCTTGTCACCAAGAGCCTATATGGTAAGCAGATGGAGCTTCCACCTCTTTCTCTGACAATACACCCTGCATATAGATCAATCTCACCCTTTTCCTGGGGTCTGTCTTCATAGTAACACAACAGATTTCAAGCTCAGATCTTCCTTACCAACCTTTCCTTCTGCAAGAGGCATGTCAGCCTCTCTTCCATCCTCCCTTCAGTTAACAAAATGCAGCTGCTACTGACTCAGCTGTAAATACTCAAAACTTCCTACATGGTTCAAGCACCTGATACTAAGAGGATTCAGAGGAGCCTGGAGTCTCTGTGCAGGATCCCAGAGTCTGTCACTCTGTTACATACATGTATACAAGGGCTGAATACTGTTGCGTAATAGAGATGAGCAATTGAAAGGGGATACTTAGACCACATATTTTGTTCTGGGTTTGTCTCACAATACAGTCTCTCTAGCTATGCTCGCTACAGAAAATACTGTATTACTGGTTTCCAGCGGACTTGGCAATAGTTTTGTTCAGTATCTCCTTTTCTCACTGGAGTTTGGACAGGTGAATAAGCTAAATATTTCTCATTCCTAGTGTCATGATCATGAGGGTTAGCCAGCAGCCTGGGAACTAAGGGGTTAACCTTACCTAAGTCAGGTAGATTCAGCCAATAGGAAGGTAGGTAGGAATTTCATACTAGGACAAAGGAATTTTGGGGTTTCCCTCCTTTGTCTCTAGGGAGTTTCTCTCCATCTACTGAGGGGGACAGACAGAATGTCTCCCTCCAAGAACAGACTCTTCACTCTTCTGTAAGTAGGGTAAAGTTTAGATAAATCCATTAGGTTTTTTTGTTTTATGGGTTGGGAAATGGGATCTGATGTTTGTGCATTTAAAAATGCTTTTTGCTCTCTTTTGTAACTAAGCTCCTCGCCCATGGTGGGGTTTTTCCTCCATGAGTATATTACTTTGTAACTTTGCCAACTAGTCATTATGCTTTTAACAGGAATACTGTGGTGATAATAAAAGTTCTTTCTCTTTTCTTTTCTTAACCTGGCATTGGTTAATTTTTGTGTCCTGGTTTGTACTTTAGGGGTGAGATTTCCTAAGTGATCTCCCCCCTAATTTTCTTATCAGTACTTGGGTGGTGGCAGTGGAGTTTTATCCCCAAAATCTAGGTTAAGATTTTGGGGGGAAGTTTTTTTACCAAAACCTGGAAAGAAGGTTTTGGGGTACTTTTGCGGGCCCCCACTTCTGCATTTATCGTGCCAGAGTGGGGAATGAGCCTTGACACCTAGTAAGATCACTATGTATGTAGGTCATTCTACTTGCCTAAGTTGTGCCTTCCTCTTTACACTGCTATTTTATACTCATGCTATTTGGGTTTGCATCCGCATGTCGCTGTAACTGCAGATGTACCTTAAGATACACATGTCCCTCAAGGCTAGTCTAATAAGCATCAGCAGGACGATACTTGAAGGCACCCCAACACTCAGGGACCCAGACCATAAACATGTTTGATTATATGTAAATACCATTTTCCTTTATCATCATGTTAATGTCCTTCCGATACTAGGTCTGATACACTCACCGTGCTGACAAGCTTTGGGATACTTAATATAAGAAACAGATTTGGTACACAAGGACCAGACAGTTATCCGCAGCTGTTGGAAAGAGAAAGACAAGAAAGTATTTGTTTATCTTGGCAGTTAAAAAAAAAGTGTACAGACAATCTAATTCAAACACTAAACTAGATAATTGTATTTTTTGTACTGGAGGGCCTCACATTAAAACAAACTGGAACCAAAGATTTTTCCTAACAAAACTGTTCCATTTAAATATTAGTGTTTCTATATTATACTCTACTTATGTTTTATTACAAAACTTCTTTTCCTAACAATTTCTGTAATGCCTTTAATAACTGATCAAGTTAAAAACAGCTTCAAGAACTTAGACTTATAGCTGTCCTGTTTTATTTAGTTCTGTAAAACTGTTTTCAGGTGCGGTTTATATGGAGGTCATTATAAAAAAGTCAAGTTGGGTTGGACTGTAGTACACAGAATTATCCAAGACACATGGAGATTGATACTGTTTGTCGAAAGGCTGAAGATTTCAAAGCAGCACACCCAGCTCTCTTCCAGACAAATCTATTATGCCACTATCTTTTCAGTTTTGTTTTAAATGGAGACATAGTACCCACCTTGGTCCAGAAGTATGGCAACAGAACTCTGGGCTTTATTTAGAGTGCTTAGTAAAAGATCAAGTTATTGAAAACGCAGCTGAACTTGGGAGCTGCCACAAACTAGATCCCCAGCCCTACGCTTTGAAAGTATGGCCCAGATTCCCTCTTGCCTCTGCCTCTCCACCCCCCGCTCCTCTCCCCCCAAAAAAAAGTATTTCCTAGCTTCCACTGAAATCAACCCTTAGACTAGGATCTGGACCAATGTGCAAGACTACACGTGTGCTACAACATTTACACACGAGAGGAGTGAAACTGTAGTGATTAGCTTTATTCTTTCACTTCCTTATTGCTCAGGTTTAGCTAAAGGAAGTTTGTGAGCTCTAACTGGTAGGAATGTGACGTTCCCACAAACACAAAACACTTTTCAGTCAATTATATTTATTCCAATTTAGTAGTGAAATTACATAGCAATACACTGTTGATGAGATGAATAAAAGCAGAAAGTTAATGTGGCCAATGATACTTTATTAAAATGTATATAAAGAATTATTAAATGCTGAGAGTTGTGTAAGAGCTAGCATAACGATTACCAATGTGTAATAGGAAATAATTTTTGTAGAGATTTATGTGATTTCTAAACCCACACAGGAATCTGGAAGAATAGGCTTGCAAGAGGTGAGAAATTCTTCTATTTAGATCCTTAGTGAATGATATGAAAATGTGAAACAATATGTCAACTTGAGAATACTGACTTTTCACTGTACTTTTCAGTTAAAAAAAAAACACACAAAAAAAACAGACTTTTGCCAACCCATTTTTGTTTTAGTTTCCCCTCTCTCAACCACACAAACAGAAAAATGATTTGTTATTGGAAGGACTTTATTTTCAAAAGAATCCATAAAAACCATGTACATAGTGTTTGGGGTATTTTTGGAGACTCAAGCATCTGTAGAATTCAGGAACTATAGAAGCAGCAGTCAGCTGCAAAGCAGGCCTCTCCACAGCACATCAAGGTCACAGCCTGTATTAAAAGCTCTGCACTGCTATCTGCAAATTATTCAATTAAAAACAAATACTCTACCGTAGCAATGACAGCAACCCCAGACGCATGTGTCTTCATCAATGTGTCAGGTGAACCTTTGAATTTATGTTTGGGGAGAGGAATTTTTTCTAACTTTTCAATAGTTTGTTACTAGCATATTTACCTGGTGTTGCTTGGGTCCTTAAGGAGGGGCTCAGGGAAGGGGGCTAGTGAGGTGCAGGAGACAGGATTAGAAGTGAGGAGAGGCTCTAGGAAGGAGACTTTGCGGGGGGGGGGGGAAGCCCCTCCCCAGTATTAATACCAGGACTGATTCCTCTTCCCCTTCCAGTTCCAGTTCGTGTCTAGGAGACCAAAGTGTACAGCTTCTCTGCCCCCTACACTCCTCACACAGAGTGAGAAATGCAACAAACTGTTTTTTCCCCTTGCTCTGACAAAGGGGAACAGCCAGCAATGACCCTGTATGAATCCATAGGAAGAAGCTTCAGCTTCCCCCCTTTCCTAAAGGATACTAAATTATTTTAATTTTGTTAGCAAATATTTTTTATGAACTCTAATCATAACATACTCAGGACTTTTTTCCAGTGAAAAACAAAAATTTTCTAAACCTTTCACCCAGCATATTCTGGTGTAAAATGTAGTGCATTCAGCTAATAAAGTGGCAGGACCGTTTATGCAAAATTTGGTGTCTGCAGGTAATCCCGAAGTATGACTTTATTTTGCACAACTAAATCCACAAATAAACTCTTCAAAATAAATAATAGATAGCCAAGGGGATTGTCACTACCAGAAAGTGACAGATTTAGTACAGTGGGACACCAAGAAATCTTTCCTGAAACTATCAATGCGCCACCAAATATCTTACGAACAGTAGCAAAGTAGGCATAGTACAGTGTTTAACCACATCACTGTACATAATGATTTTAACCCTTCCAGTAAGCAAAGGAGGAAAAATAAAATCTAGAATATTTATGGAAATATCAGTAGTTACAATAATTAGTCTGAATCCTGAAACTAGAGGACAGAATCTCATTTTGAGGCATAAACCAACCACTTCCAGAGTTAGGGAGAGCTTCTACCCTGGTTAGTTTACTTTATAGTTGTCCACTTACTGTATAGAAATTCTTGCAACTTCCTCCGAAGCATCTGGTACTTAACACCACTGGAGATGGGATTCCTAGCTGAATGGCCCACTAGTCTGATTCAGCTGTGGCATATTTTATGTTTCCACAGCAATTTTTTAGACTCTTATTTCAGTAGAATGAGTTTTCTTGACACCAAGTAAGATCCTGCACTTGATCACCTGGGTGTGAACACTAACACGTCTGGTACCTGGAGCTGCCCTCTGATGCTGCTAACTGAAATTCTTAAATTCCACTTCAAAAAATCCTGCCAAACGCCACCCACACAGAGAAGCATCAGGAGAGGCCCAACACAAAAGGACTAGCACCTTTTTCTAATATATCAGCCTCTACACTGAGCATCACAAGACGCTTCATATAAAGAAGCAACCTAAAGAACAAAGGAAGCTTATAAAGAGATTTAGAGATCCTGCTCAGAAGTTGAATCAGGATATCTAGACAGTAGGAAGGAGAAACAACCAAATGAGGCCCCCAGGCCTCTTTCACGTCAAGCAAAAAAGAGAGAAAAGATGCGGAAGGGAGCGTCGGACATAAACTTAACTTGCTGTTTTCACTCTTCTATGTAGCTTTGTATGAACTGAGACTTAAGGGTTCCTAGCGCTAACTTTAAGAGTACATAAAGTAAATAAGAGTACATAATGTAGTAAACTGACCTGCAATAATCAAGTTTTATATCACTACAACTGCTGACTTCGAGACACAAAAATACACCATGAGGCTGCTCTGAATACAAGGTTTACTTTAAAAATACCAACACAATGCCTACGCACATTCTTCTGTAGCAACTGCAGTAGTGGCATGCTGCTTGCTCCTATTAATTGCAGTTAACTGAACTTGCCTCTGTTCACTCCCTTAATGCAACCCAGCATCTCTCTGTCTCACACATAAAGACACACACACTCCGCAGTCAATACAAGCTTAACAGCCGAAAGCTTTAAAGTGTAGTTCTGGGTTACAGTTAAGAATGCAACTTTATAGCTGCAATACTGACTTGGCATCCTGACCATACTGGCTTTAGAAGTGTCAAAGTTAAAGGCCAGAAGAAACTCACCAGATCATCTCATCTGACCTCCTCTATGTCACAGGCAACCACCACCAACCCGCAACTACATACTAAACTAGGGATGTAAGCAACTACCCAATAAGCTTAGGCAGCGGGGTTGGGGGACAGGAGCCAGTGCACTGGGGGGCATGACAGGCTCTTACATTTGGAAAGCAGAGCCACAGCATGGGGTCCCAGACCTACCCCCTGTGGCTCTACATGCCTGGCTCCTATTACCTTTAAACTGCAAAGCCACAGCTTTTCAACTCACTGTGTACTCAATACAAATTGTATTGAGTAAATGATTGGTCAGTTACCCGCTTTTTAACATCCTTATATTAAATTCAACAACTGAGATCAAAACAAAAGCACTACAGCCCACAGAAGACTCAGGGAAGTACCACGCCACAGGAAGAGATAGGCAGAACTGAGGGTGCCAGTGCCCAAACCCCCACATGATGCTCTCCTCTCCTGCCCCCACATGAACTGTCCTGACCCTCCAGTATAGGGAAATCCCTGCTGCTTGAGTCAACCCACAAGACAGGTGAACTCCACAGAGAAGGTGAGGGGAAGCAAGCATCTCCCTACGTTGCAGAGGCACTAACTTCTGTGTTTCAGTCTCCGCTCCCTGAGGGAAACGAGGCTGTTGAGGAGCCATCTGCCCCATCTCTGCTCTACCCTCTACTGCAGGACAGAATGCACCCCATGTCAGTGCCCAACAGCTCCCCGCCTTCTCATGCAGCAGAACCACACTCCTACCGCACAGGAAGGGATGGAAGGCACCTCTAGCTAACTTTGCTTGGACACCACAAGCTAGCACTCCGGATGGAATAAATAAGCAAATGAAGTCTATAAATATATTATTCCGGCCAAGAACTTAATTGACTTTTGTGCTGTTTGGTAGCTTCTAAACTTTAAAAAAAACATGTACACGAATACAAAGCTCAAAAAAAATATAGCCGTACGGGTACAAACAGAAAAAGTGATTAAAACCAAACATATTGGGACTACATTTTAATAAGATAAATCTGAAAGCATCTATGAAGGATATGTAGCCAGAAAAAAAGGTACTACTTTTGCAGTAAATATTTTCTAAAAGGCATTTACTGTTCACTACTGCAGAGAAATCTACACCGCTCAAGACTGAAATTACACAATAAAGATCGTAACACAATGCCAAAAATATCTTGCATTGTATCAGATACAATTATTCTTTATCCTCCCCTCCCCACAATTCAGAGAGTCCTGGGAGAAGCCAG